CCTTTTCCTCCTCCTCCTCCTCCTCCTCCTTCTCCTCCTCCTCCTCCTACTCCTCCTCCTTCTCCTCCTCATCCTCGTCCTCCTCCTGATGACGATGATGATGATTATGATGATGATAATGGCGATGATAATAATAATGATGATGACTGTGACGATGATGGTGACGATGATGATGACGATGCTGCTGATGATGCTGATGATGCTGATGATGTTTATGATGATGATGGTGCGGCTGATGATGAGACCGATCATCACGATTGTGATATCGATGGTGGTAGCAATGATGGTGGTGATGATGATGAGACTGTTGATGATGGTGAGAATTGTGATGATGATGCTGATGCTGATGTTGCTGCTGATGATGAGGGTGATGATGAAGATAATGCTGATGTTGGTGATGGTGATGGTGATGGTGATGGTGGTGATGACGATGATGGTGAGGGGGGTGGTGATGGTGGTGATGATGATGCCGACGACGATGATGAGTATCACTACGATGACTATGATTGTGTTGATGATGTTAACGCTGCTAATGACGACGCTGCTGACTGTGAGCATCCTGGTGTTGATCACAATGATGGTGATGATGCTGATGCTGATGCTGATGCTGCTGATGATGTTGATGTTGATGATGTCGATGATGATGTTATTGATGATGAGGACGATGATGCTGACGATGATGATGATGGTGGTGGAGATGTTGATTGCGACGATGATGAGTGAGACAACGACGATGATGATGATGATGATGATGATTATGATGATGATGATGATGGTGATGATGGTGATGGTGATGGTGATGGTGATGGTGATGATGGGGTGAGAATATCGATGTTCGGAATGGCGTCTGTGACGATGGTGACGATCATGAGCTCGACAGCGACAATGCGTTTTATTCCTTCTGCTCTTGGGTCGGACGACCGCAGTCGCAGTGCATATACATATACATACATACATACATACATACATACATACATACATACATACATACATACATACATACATATATATATATATATATATGTGTACATATAGATATATAGTATATAGTGGGCAGCGATGCTCCACAGCATGTGCGAGACGAGGAGACCTACGAGAACACCTTCGAGACAATGGAGATATTGCATCATACCAAAATCATTCCAACATCGCTCCACACCCAGATCGTGGTTCCAACTTGTCAAACAACGGGTAGCAGAGTAAGTAATTCAGTGTGCAGTGACTTCGGCAGTAATTCAGTGTTCGTCGTGCAGTAATTCAGTGCGCAGTAATTCAGGGAGTTGCTTTGCCGAAGCCGTGTTTCACGCAGCAGCTTGGCAAGCATGACTGTTGAGCTGAGTACCGCGACTTGGGCCAAAGTCTGAGAAATCAGCTCCTCCCCCTCCTCCCCTCTCCCCTCGCCCTCTCCCCTCGCCCCTTTCCCCCCCCCCCCCCCCCCCTCTCGCCTCTCCCTCTCTCCGCCCCCCCTCGCTTCGCTCTCTCCCCCGCCCTCCCCCCCTTCGCCCCTCGCCTCCCCCCGCCCCCCCCCCCCCTCTGCGCCTCGCCTTCTCTCCCCGCTTCCCCCCGGCCTCGCCCTCTTCTCCGCCCCCCCCCCTCTGCCCTCTTCTCTCGCCCTCTCGTTTCGCCCTCTCCCCCGCCCCGCACCTCTCGCGTCGAACTCCCACCCGCCGCCCCTCCCTCGCCCGTTGCCGCGCCCCGCCGCCCCGCCTCGCTCTCCCCGCCGCGTCCGCCCCGCGGGCGGCGCGGCCCCCGCCGCCAGGCCCCGTCCAAGACTTTCTCGAAGGGCTGGTCCGAGCCGTACGGCGCTGCCGCCCAGAGGGGGCGTGCTTCTCGTCGTCCTCCGCCGCCGGCCGGGGCGGGGACACAGGGATAAGAAGTCGTTCCATGGAGAGTGTCGGATCGCCTCTGAGAGGGCCACGGCGCCCGATTCACCCTCCAGATCCGCCGGATCTCAAAGATTCCCGGTCTATCCTTATCCGATGTTATCCCTGCCTTGGCGTCGTCTTGCGCCCCCTCGCGTTCTATCCCCTCGTCCTCCACCCCCCCTCGTCCTCCACCCCCTAGTCTTCAACTTCCTCGTCTCTCCCCCTCGTCTTCCACCTTGCGTTCTCACCTCCTTAACCTCCCCACGCTGGAGGGTTCTAGCCCACCCGCGCTGGCTTTAAATGCCCGCCTTGGCGGTCATCGGCGTGCTTCGCGTCGCTTCGCTTCGCTTCGCTCCTCCTCCTCCCTCCCCTCGTTGCCCCCCTCGTCGTTGCCCCCCTCGTCGTCCTCCTCCCTCCGATACGTTGCCGATGGACGGGAGATTCGCCCCCGATAGCGAATCTGCGATTCCCCAGGCGGGGGGAGGGAATCAGGCCCCGATCGGCGATGGGCGATTGTCAGGAGGGGAAAAAACACACAGACAGAATTAATCGTCGATTCCCATGAAAATATGGGAAAATATGGGAAGGAGGGGGGAAGACAGAAACCCAGAAAATATGGGGAATCTTTTTATTTGTGTGTTTTTAGTTGTGTGTCCTGGGGCCCCTCCAGATTGGGTGTGGTTCCATCCCTGGGCTGCGGAGCACACCGAGGGCGGCGCCCGAGGCACCGCCAGGGGGGCCAACGCCGACCCAACCGCGCGGCCCTCCGCAAGTCTGTGTTCATGCAGATGTAGACTGTTCCCCAATCAGTGCTCGCACTGGATTGGGGTCCTCGCGGCTGTGGAAGGACTTGGCGAAAGTACCTCGCCGGTTTTGCTGGCACGCTGGGTTCCCGGGTTCCCAGGTTCCCAGTTCCGGGTTCCCGGGTTCCCGGTTCCGGGTTCTGGGCCGATTTCGGAGGGCGGCGAGGTTCCCGGGTTCCCGGGTCCTTGGTCGATCTTCTTATCGATCGGTCTCACCATCGATCTCATTACCGATTTCTCGATCGATCTAACCATCGATCACATAATCGACCTCATTATCAATCTCACAAGAGATCTCACTACAGATCGCATGAGCGATCTCGCTATCGATCTCATTATCGATCTCATTGAGTCGATGTCATTATCGGTCTCACGATCAACTTTACAATCGTCCTCACTATCGATTACACTATCGATCCCATTGTCGATATCACAATCGATCTCAAGATCCATAGTAACAATTTTCAAAGCATCCACTGATTGGGTTTACTCAGGTGTAATTATACTGTTGCCTTGCTTCCTGCCAGCACCACGTCGGTTTAGAGGACGTGGGCTGCGTGAGCCGCTGGTGCAGTATCCTCCCTGCCTGCCACTAAGGGTGTGTCACTGCCTTGCTCGTCATACGCTCGCCCGCGTCGCTAAAGCCACGCGAAGTATCCTGCCAATGCGATCGGTGCGCCAAGATTGTCGTGAAGCAGCGCTGGACATCATGGCACAGAAGGTGCCGCTACACTTTGCGCGCGAGGTGTACTTCTGTGCATTGGGGACAAGTGTTGATTGCTGGCGGTGGGCGCATTATTATTCCTCGTCGTTTTAGTATTGTGTGTCTCAGTTTCTGAATATGCGTATCACTAGTTTTATGTTTATTCCTCGGTTTCGTCGGGCATGGTGTCTTAAGTGCTGTCTACTACGCTGTGGCAGGAACATTCAGGCCCTGGCGGGCTTCACCCTCCAGAAGTATGTCGGGTGGCTCAGCTTGTGTCCAAAAGACATGTCCAGCTCAGCGTGCTGGGGAAGAGAGAGGGTCTCTCGCCCTCTCCCCCCTTTCCCTTGGTTTTCGCAGTGCCACTGCCCGCGCTGCCACCCTGCCTCCTCCCGCTTGGGCTGCGGCCAACTGAGCGCAGCCAGCTCCTGAGTTTGGAATTGCTCCGCGCCCCCCTCCCCTCCGGAGAAGCGAAGAGCCGAATAGTCAAGAGCTGCATAAGTTTAAGCATGGATTTTCGCAGCTCCTCGCGAACTTTTCGGATTGGCGCTGGGCACCCCCTGGCGGCGCGCCCCTGGCGCGCGGAGCGCGCCAGGGAGGGGGGCCCAGCGCCGATTCAAGGAATCCGCGCGGAGCTCCGAGAGTTGATGTTGATGGTTCACAGCATACACTGAAGAGGGGGGTGATGACTGGGGGAAGGGAGTGGTGAATATCACGACCAGGCCCATGATACCTGCCTGGATTTCGTGCCCCCCCGCTGCTTATCCCAGCACGTCACGTGCCGTGCCCCCCCATTGGGCCGCGCGCGTGCCTCGGGCCGTGCTTTGCAAACCCCTCTCCTTGCACGCCCCACCACTCCTCCATCCTTCCCACCACTCCTCCATCCTCCCCACCACCTCCCTCCTCCTCCCCACCACTCCTCCATCCTCCCTCCTCCCTCCTCCTGCCCAGGTGGCCCACCACTCCTCCCTCGTCCTTCACCACCTCCTCCATCCTCCCCCGCCCCCCCGAGCGACCCCCAGAGGGCCCGCTCCGATCCGATCGATCCGATGCGACATCGGTCCTGGCCTGCCCGATCCGAGTCGGTCCCGACGTTCTGACGCTCCGGCGCGCCGATGGTTGCGCGGTGTTGCCGTGCATCTCGGCGCAGCCGATCCGGTTCGATTCCGATCCCGTGCCGAGGCAAGGGCGCCCTCGAGGGCGCGAAGCTATCCGCGCTCCGCGGTTCGGCTCCTCCTCCTCCTCCTCCTCCTCCTCCTCCTCCTCCTCCTCTTCTCCCCTGGGAGGCGGCGCGAGAGCGCGAAGTCATTCGCACTTCGCGCTTCGCTCCGCGCGAAGCGCGAAGTTGGGAGCCCGTGCCGATGCAGCCCGATCCGATGCACACGTCGATTCGATCCGGAGTACCGGCTTGACATTGCTTGGTGTCGGTCTCCCCCGCCCACCCCTGCTTTGGCGACGCTGGGCGACGCAGGAAGAGGGGGCCGTCTGCGCCGACATCCGCGCAGAGGTCGCGCGCCGGCGCCCTCGTCTCTGCGCTGGCGGCCGGCGCAAGCCGCCGCGTGAGGCTCCCGTGCCAGCTCGCGCGAGGCACGGTTCTCATTATCGTCGCTCGCCTGGCGGCCCAGGCGCCAAGGGCAAGGACCCCTGGGGCGGCGGCAAGGACGCCTGGGGCGGCGGCAAGGACGCCTGGGGCGGCGGCTACGGCGGCAAGGGGAAGGACCGCCCCCGCGGGCCTCTTGCCGAGGCGTTCCGGCGGTGCCCGCCTGCACCGCTGCCGGGGCCAGTCTCGAGCCGACGATCGGACCAGGCGTGCTCGGAGCGGACGATTCGGCGGAGGTATGCTGATGCTGATGCTGATGCTGATTATGATGATGATGATGATGATGATGATGATGATGATGGTGATGGTGATGATGGTGATGATGGTGATGATGATGGTGATGATGGTGATGATGATGATGATGAGGAGGAGGAGGAGGATGACCATGATGATGATGATGATGATGATGATGATGATGATGATGATGATGATGATGATGATGATGATGATGATGATGATGGTAATGATGATGATGGTGATGATGATGATGATGATGATGATGATGATGATGATGATGATGATGATGATGATGATGATGATGATGATGATGATGATGATGATGATGATTGATGATGATGATGATGATGATGATGATGATGATGATGAGATGATGATGATGAGATGAGATGAGGATGAGGATGATGAGGATGATGAGGATGAGGATGAGGATGAGGATGATGAGGATGAGGATGAGGATGAGGATGAGGATGAGGATGAGGATGAGGTGAGGATGAGAGAGGAGGAGGAGGAGGAAGAGGAGGAGGAGGATGACGACGACGATGAGGAGGAGGAGGAGGAGGAAGATGAGGAGGAGGAGGAGGAAGATGAGGAGGAGGGGGAGGAGGAGGAGGAGGGGGAGGGGGAGGAGGCGGCGCGAGGGGGTGTGGCTTTCGGGGAGGGCGGCCGGCTTCTCAGGAGGCGAGGGGGCCCTCTTCGGGAGGGCCCGGGAGGCCTCCGAGGGGGCTTCCAAGAGGCCCCCTGCCTGGGCAGACGCCACTTGGGCTGCTTCGAGGGTCGCCCCCCCCCTCGCGCCACTGCCCTTCCTGCGCGCGGCCGCTCGGCGCGTGGTCAGCGCACTCCTGTGCGAGGGGAGCCCGTCTTGCTCCCGTCCCCTTTGAGGAGGGCGGAGGGAGGAGCGCGGAGGGAGGAGGAGGGAGGGGGCAGGAAAGGGCAAGGAGGAGGGAGAGGGGCGGAGGGAGGAGGCACCGGGGACAAGAATCAAGGGCGAGGGGAGAGAGAAAACAAAAAGCAGGGAGGAGGAGTAGGAGGAAAATATAGAAAACGGGTATTTGTGTTCAGCAACGGCCCTGATGCTTGGTCCTTGCTAGAAGTGTGTCGCATGCCACGTGCACATGCACTCAAATCAAGCAACTGGCACGAGGTCGTCTGTGTGAGAGTAGAGTGCAGTGTGATAATCATGGCAGCAGGAGCAATGGCAGCAGGAGGTGCATCAAGAGTCGGAGGTAGTTTGATTCCTGATATGGTCCCTCTCCTCCGCTTCCTCATGATCGTCATCGCCATCATCATCAGCATCAGCATGATCAACATCATAATCATCAATAGCATCATCAGCATCAGCATAGTCTTCATCATCACCATCATCAACAACAGCATCATCGTCATCATCCTAACCGTCACCAACACCATCCTCATCATCACCAACATCACCATCTGCATCATCATAATCAGCATCATCACCATCCTCATCATCACCATTATCACCATCATCATGATCAGCAGCATCATCGTCTGTCGTCTGCTTCTCGCCTCATCATCCTCCGCCTACTCCTTCTGCGTCCCCCTCGCCTCCTAAATTATCCCGCCTCCCCTCTTCCCTCTCTCCTTCCCTCCTCCCCTCGCCTCCTCCTCCCCCTTCCCTCCTTTCCCCATCCATCCCCCCCTCGCCTCACCCCCACTCCCCCGCGGCGCAGGACACATGGGGCGCTGGAAAGGATTCTTGGAGTGCCGGCAAGGATTCTTACGGCAAGGGCAAGGCCGCGGCCTCAGCGATCGACAAGAGGAGGACGAGAGGGGGAGGAGCGGGTTGGGCAGGAGGAAGAGGAGGAGGAGGAGGAGGAGGAGGAGGAGGGACGAGGAGAAGGGTGGAAGAAGGAGGGAGGAGGAAGCAGGAGGTCGGAGGATGAGGAAGGGAGGAGGAGGAGCGAGGAAGGAGGAAGGATGCAGGAAGGGAGGTGGAAGAGGAGGGCGACGAGCAGGAGTAGGAGGAGGGACGGAGGAGAGAGGAGAAAGGCAAGCTGAATTCGCTAGCGCCATATCTGGCATCCTATCCCTCCCTCACATCCCTCCCGATTGTGCTGATTTGTTCTGCATCCGCAGACGCGTGTCACAGCCGACCTGGAATTTATTTTTATTATACCTATATATATATATAGATGGACAAGGAGAGCTGGGTACACAGGAGGAGGAGGAGGATGTGGCGAGTGAGCAGGAGGGTGAGCAGCAGGAGAGGGTATAGGATGAGGAAGGAGGAGGAGGACGACGAGGACAAACCGAAGCAGCGGGAACTCGAGAGGAAGGAGCGGTATGAGCAGACGGACCGAGAGAAGGCAGAGGAGTTGAGCAGGAGGAGAGGGGGGGGGATGGTGAAGGAGGAGGGCGAGCAGCAGGAAGTCGAGTGGAAGGAGCGGGAGGAGCAGAAGGGTCAGGGGAAGGAGAGGAGGGGAAAGGAGGGGGCGGACAACGATGAGAAAGGACTCGGATCCAGAAAAGAGGCCCGCGCTGCGGCGAGAGCGCCATTCTGAACGACCAGAGCAACGCGCCCGTCCGAAAATGAGGCCCACGCTGCAGGGAAAACACCGTTTCAAAACATTTAAAAAGCAATCATCAATCGAAGTATAAAACAAGGCAAGGCAAACACCGCGCTTGAGATCCTGTGTGAAGTTCGGTGCGCAGAGAGGGCGGGATACCTCCCGCACGCAGTCAGGGGAGAGAGGAGAGGAGGACTCATGTTGTGTAGTCGCACAGGGAGAAGCACGTGGAACCAAGTCGCCTCTTGGTTAGCAACCATCATCCCTGAGTAGCCATATGGGCCATAAGGCTACCCAGGGTTGCCCGTGAAATTCCAAGCAAATGCATGCAATGCCAAGCAACGCCAGGCAATACCAGGCAACGCCAGGCAGTGCTAAGCGATGCGATGCTTCCTATGTGACTGTTCCACGCAATCCACAGCCAATGCCAGGCAATGCCAAGCAACACGTCCAAGCAATGCAAAGCAAATGCCAAGCAACGCACAACAATGCAAAACAACACGACGCGACGATTCCCAGCAATACCCATGCATGCCAAGCACCGCAAAGCAACGCCAAGGAATGATTCACGTTGCATTGCGTTGCTTTGGGGGGAAGGAGGCACTTTCATTGAGGGCGTCGTCGACATCATCAATTTCAACAGCATCAACAGCAACAGCATCATCAGACTCATCATCATCAGCAGCACCATCACCGTCGTCATCATAATCATCATCACCATCAGCATCACCATCATCGTCATCAACCTCATCCTCATCTTCAGTATCATCATCGCCATTAGCATCGTCATCATCATGAACAGCAGGAAACATAGCAGCATCAGAAACTGCAGCAACAACGGCACCATCATCACCAGCAACAGCATCATCACCCGCATGAACAACAGCATCATCAGCATCAGCATCACCATCAACATCATCAGTATCACCATCATCTGCAGCATCATCGCCATCATCATAACAGTCATCATCAGCATTCCCAGCGTCATCATCATCGTCATCGTCTCCTCTCGGGCCCGTCTATACTCGGCGTCGGACGCCGATAACAATAATGGCCCATTCCCCCCACTCCTCCTCCTCCTCCTCCTCCTCCTCCTCCTCCTCCTCCCCCTCCTCCTCCTCGCACCCCTCCTCCTCGACCTCCTAATTACCCCCCCTCCTGTTCATACTCCTCCTCTTTCTCCTCCTCATCCTCCTCCTCCTGTTCGCACTCCTGCTCTTCGTACTCCTGTTCGTACCCCTTCCACCTTCCCCTGCTCCTCCACCGCCGTCGCCGCCTCCTCCTCCTCCTCCTCCTCTTCCTTCTCCTCCTCTCCCTTTTGATGGTCATACTCTCCCTGCGGCGTGCGCGGTCCGCCCGCCAGCGCGGCAGCTCTCACCCCCGTCAAACCCAGAGTTTCGCATGGGAACGCCGCGAAGAACGGAAGCCGTTGCGAGGGGGACGGGGTGCGCAGGCCAGGGCCTGCAGGATGGGCATACACGGGGCCGCCACTGCGACGACGGCGATTCATCCTGCTGAGAGAGCTGAGAGCTAGTGGCTGAATGTGCGTTACACGGTTATGGTTCGTATCCTTTTCCATTGCGGCCGCCCCACAGCAGCTCTATCCCGCCGCTGCTGGGGCTCAAGCTTTCAGCGGGTATGAAGCCCTAGCTCTACCCGGCCAGCGCGTTCGGGGCCTTTCATCACTTTCTGGGTGGGCTTTGCGGCCCACGGCGTGATCGGGCCCTCGCTGCTGGCTCCAGGCGCCGAGGACCAGCCGTGCGACGGCCTGGGCCCCGAGCACGCGCGCGCCCACGACCACGCGCACGCGCGCGCCCACGACCACCGTGGCGCCAGCGTGCCACTGCCCGGCGCCGTTGGCGCCAGAAGAAGCCGCCCCGCAGCCTTTGCGAGGAGCGGAGGCGACCGTGGAAGTGCTCGCGCTGGCGGTTGGCCGATGCCGGCCGACGCTGACGGATTGTGGCGCCTGCTGGGGCTTGGCGGAGAGACGGGGCCCGGCCCGGCGGTCGTTGGAGCCGATCGGCGAGGCCCGGATTCACGTGGCGTGATGGCGCTGCACGGCGCAAGCCCCGGGCACCACCCTCGGGCGCCACGTCGACGGCAGGCGGATGGCCTCCCGCCCCGCCGACGAGAAGTACGCTATAGTGCGGAAGGGCCTTCGCTGCCTCTTGAGGCGTCGGAAGGTCGCAGGCCGGCGGCTGGAGATTGCGCAGGGCCACATGACCTCCATGGCCCTGGTCCGTCGCGAGGTGCTGACAATTTATCAAACTGCATGCGCTTTCGTGGCACAGAGCTACCACGCCTTTCTCCGCGTTGTGGCACGCGGTGAGAGATGAGCTCAAATGCCACCTGGGCACCATGGTTATGTCGGGGCCAAGCTGGACCAAGCCCTGGACCCCAGTCGCCCACCCCTCTGACGCGAGCCTCTTCGGCCGCGGCGTGGCGGAGGCGTGCTTCGACCCAGGGGCGGTCGCCGAGGTCGGTCGCATCTCGGAGCTATCGCGGCGGCGCCTGGGAGCTGGGCTCGCGCGGCGGCGCGCTTGCGTTCGCGCGGGCTTCCTGTTGGACAGCGAGACAGGCCAGGTGGCCCGAGACGCTAGCGGGGCGCCCCTCCAGCTGGACGCTGATCTGCGGCGCGCGCAGGATAGCGAGCGCTTGGAGGCAGATCCCAGCTTCCCCGAGGCGCCGAGCTCGCTTTTGCATGACTCCCATTGGTTCCACTGTGATGGCGGACAGGTGGGTTTTCGAAGATGACACCTTAGACCCGAGGCGCGGGCGCTTGTGAAGGCTGCGTCGCGTGCCGCGCACTGCCAGCCAGTAACAGACTGCCGCCTTCTGTGGCGCGGAGATAAGCCAAATGTTGTGCTCTCTGCGTTTGCCGATTCAGGTCCAGGGATTCTCGGCTTCTAACTCAGGTCCGTCGCCCTCGCTGCCCCCGCGCCTCGCCAGAGATTTCAGATTCGCCGTTCGGTCGACCTCGAGCGAGTTCAAATCTGGCGACGAAGGCAGTCGGATATTCGATCATGAATGAGTCTGATGGCAGCAAGACTACCGGCGCCCATCTTGGCTCAAGCTCGTTTTCGTCGCAGGTTGACCCGGGCCTGGCCGTCGCCGCCGCGAGAAGCCGGGAAGCTCCGCCTGGCCGCGAGGCCCCGCGGAAGAAGACGCTGAGCCGCGCGGCGCCTCCGGCGCCAGTGCCGGGCCAGGCGGCCAGGCGGCGCGCGAGGGCGCTGGGCGCTGGAGCGGCGAAACGCGAGGCGGCTGGGGCGCCGCCGTCACTGCGGGCCCGCGCGCTGGATCGGAGCGGCGGGCTTGCTGCCAGGCTGGCGGCTCGGGAGCGGGCTCGGCCGCCGCGCGGGGGGGCGGCGCAGAGCCTCCTGGAGGCGGAGCCCCATGAGCTTCCGCTGCCGGTCGCCGTCGCCACCGGCCGAGAGGCCGGCGCGGCCGCGAGCCAGAGCGGCGACAGCAGCGACGCGGGGGAGCCTGCCGTCGCGGCCAGCTGCTTGAGACGCCCAGAGGCCCGCGGCAGGGCCCGGGCGAGGAAGGCGACCGCTGCGCCGGTGGAGGCCCCGGGCGCCGTGAGCGGGGAGAAGCTGGGCACCAGCTGCCCCGAGAGGTGGTCGGCGGGGGCGGCCGCGCTCGAGCGCTCGAGACCTATCGCCAGCGCGCCCTCTGCGCCTGGGCCCGCTGCTCGCCGGCTGCGCGCCCAGAGCCAGCAGTCCTGGACGCCCCCCCCGTGGACTGCGTGAACGGGGAGCTCCCGAAGGGTATCAAGGCCTGGCGCGGGGGGGAGTTGCTGGCGGGCGCGATGTTCTTCCGCCCGCGCTGCGGCCGCCAGGGTGGCCCGCGCCTGCCTCGCCCCCTGCGGCGCCTGAAGGGCTGGAAGAATGCGTCGCCATCTCGCTCTCGGAAGCCGCTGGCGTTCGCGACCCGGTCGGCTATAGCAGCGGGGCTGCGCCGACTGGGGGCCCCCGCAGCGGGGGCGCCGGCGCCGACGCTGGCGGAGTGCCACCTTCGCCCAGGGGAAGGAGTTGCTCGTATCAAAGTGGGCTCGTCAGACGATGCCATCCCATGCGGCCCGGGTCGATGCCCTTGGATGCGCCGCATCTGCCGCGCCTTGAAGGACAGGAACTCGTCGCGGCCCCTTCCTGGGGTTGAGCCGCCCGCAGTTCCTGAGCCTCTTCCGTCGCGCTGCTCTGAACATCGGAGTGGGCGTCGCCCCGCACCGAGGCCGGCACAGCGGAGCATCGCTCGATCGGGCAACGGGGCGGCGGTCGCAGGAGGGGGTCCAACAAGGGACACGAGAAGTTGGGGCGGCTGAAAAAGAGTTGGGAGCGCCTGCAGGAGACTAGAAAGGCGCACTGCGCGGCGGCCTCGCGGCAATCGGAGGACGCGCTACCGTCGGGACGGGCCGCGCCATTGCCGCCTTTCGCGCGCCGGGGGGGTTCTCGCGCGGCCCAGTGAGCAGAGGGCCCCGCTGCCCAAAAAAAGTCCGCACCTGCTGGATGCATTCTCGGGCGGCGGTGGAATCGGCAGATGCGCGAGGCGGCTTGGACGCAATTCAGTGAGTCTCGACCTAAGGAATGGGCTGGATCAGGACGCGTGCGGCACTTTGAATCTAAAAGTGGTCGAGCGGCATTTCAGACCTGGCCTAGTTGGAGCGGCCATGTCGGCGCCGCCGCGTTCGCCTTTCTCTCTTGCTCGTAACCGACGCCCTGTCCGACATGCTGAGCGCCCCGAGGGTCTCCTGCAGCTTCGAGAAAAGGGCGTGGCTACGGTGATTTTTGGGAACCTTTGCACGCGCGTGGCAGTGTACATTGTGAGTCCGCGCCTGCTTCACTTTGTGCCCTGTGCGCTGGAGAACCTTATGATTTCGCAGATGTGGCGCTGCAGAGACACGCGTCAAGAGGCGTTGCCACACAGCTGGGCGGTAGACCTGCATCAGTGCTCTTTTGGATCCAGATGGAGGGAAAGCGACTCGAGCTGTTCTCGACTGCGCGACGGAGTCTGGGGACCCTTAGTTGGTGTACCCGGGCCGTTTGACATGTCATGGGAAGCGCGGTTAGTGCTCCTTTCGGCAATGCCATAATCATGTCATTATTGAAGCGAAGACAATGACTAGCAAGGCTACGGAATACCCCCCTTGCTTTGCCGCATGGCTGCGCGGATCTTTGTTGGACTTGTGAGATAATCTTGCGTGCTTCGACACGTCAATCTCGAGGTTGACGCCTTTCCGCTCCCGTAAATGCTCCTTGCCAATACGTTGTGGACTTCGACTGTGGCGACGAATGTGGATGATGAGCCCTGCCGCTGCATCCCTCGCCCCCCCTGGTCGCGACCATGAGGTATCAGATTAGCAGACTTCACCACTGAAAAAAGGAGACGGAGCATCAATGTGCGTTGCACGGTTTTGCTGCGTCTCCTTTGCATTGTTGCCGCCCCACAGCAGCTTCATTCCACCGCTGCTGGGGCCAAAGCTTCCCTCGAACCCCCTGGTCGCGACCAGGAGGTATCAGACTTCACCATTGATAAACGATACTGAGCAAATGGTGGTTCGTTAGAGCATCCTGCTGCTCTTCCTCCGACCGACCCATCTACACGTTTGCCCACCAAGTTGTCCATTGAATCCCACTTCCCACCTCCTGCTACCTCCTCTGTCCTACTTTTGCGTTCTTCCTCTCATGCCAGTCCTCCTCCCGTTCCTCCTCATCTTCCCCCCTTCCCCACCCCCTCCTCCTCCCCACTCCCTCCTCCTCCTCCTCCTATTATTCCTCCTCCTTCCTCCTTTTCCTCCTCCTTTTCATCCTCACCCCGCTCCTACTCCTCTTCCTCCTGCTCTACCTCCTGCTCCTCCTCATATTCCTCCTCCTCCTTCCCACTCCCTCGTCGTCCTCCTCCTCCTCCTCCTCCTCATTTTCCTCCTCCTCCTCCCCCTCATCCTCCTCGTCCTCCTCCTCCTCTGGTTCATCCTCCTCCTTCGCCTCCTCTTCCTCCTCCTCCTCTTCCTCCTCCTCCACCACCTCCCCACTCCACTACTGTTCCTCCCCACTCCCTCCTTCTCATGTTCCGGCCTCTCCCCCATCGGCCTCTTCCTCGGAGGATGGAGGAGGCCGCGCGGCCGAGGGCCCCATGCAGAGCGCCGTCAGCAAGGGCAAGGGCGACAAGGCCCACGGCACCCGCGCCCTCGGCGCCCGCAGGGGGCGGGGCGGGACGGCGCCGACGACGACGAAGCCGATGACGACGACGAAGCCGATGACGACGCCGACAGGCGCGGGCTCGCGAGAGGGGGGCCGATTGATCACTGCGCTTCGCGCAAGGCTAGGAGCGGAGGGAGGAGGAGGGCGATAGGCGAGCCAGCTTGGGAGCAGATGGCCGGGCACCCCAGGGGTAGTGAACCACATTTTTGTTGCCAGGCACGGATATTGCTAACCTTCGTTGAGCAGTCAAAAGCTGACAGCGGGAGGGAGAGGGTTGGCAACAGAGAGGAATTCGAGAGGGGGGTGCGGGGGGCAGCCTCAGGATACACAGTACATTATCGATGCCGACGGCGCCGATACATCGGCGATGCGGCAGGACTGTCTGACCCCATCTGCTCGGACCCCATTCGGGCGACCTTCAGGATCGCCATCTCGCCGTCGCCATCTCGTCGCCGCCCGTCGTTTAGGCCTGGGTGGCGGTCTGGCGGTTCCGTGTTCGCCGTCCCCGTGCTCGTCGTCACCGCCACGTCGCCGCCTAGATTGTGCAACATAGATCTTCCGTCCTTTCAAAGAAACTGGAGAGATTCCACCAGCTCACCGAGGCCAGACTTAACCGCTCACCCTCGCGTGTTGCAATTTGCACATAATCACATAATCACGTATCCTCGTTCGTTTTCCGTACGAATTCATTCACATCAGATAAGCCCAGCCGTTGTCGACACCCCCGCCATCTTTGTCAAATAACCCCATGCGCGGTCATTCGTTTATCAAGAGTTGCCAGTTCCCATGCAACTTGCAACAAAGTGGGATTGCGCACGCTCGCGTAGTCGCGCGCGCATGGCGAAACCCGTTTTAAGATTTTGCGATCGCAAGCATTTCAAAGTTGTGTGTCCCGAACAAGTAAAATATACAATTACGTTGTAACATTCATTGTCAAATCAATATGAGCTCGAGATTCGCTTCATCCCAAAGGTTCTCAACATTTACACGCCATGCGGCCCAACGTGCCTGCTGCGTGTGCGTGTCGGAATCATCCGAACGCGATTCCGCGTGTGCTTGGGGGGACAAGATCCTTGTCAGATCGTACTATGCGGGCCACTCGCGCGCGCAGCTCAAAATCCTTCGTCACCGACGGGTGGACACCACCAGCGTCACCAGCAAGTTCAGTATCGGTGCCGTCATTGGCCTTGCCGTCGCTATCGTCATCGTCGCCACCAGCATCGCTACTATCATCATCGTGTCTGCCTTTGTCCACGTCGCCACGGTGCCGCGCCCCGTCGGGGCACCAGCTCGCACTGACGTGCCCGAGCGTCCGCGCGGCGTGCAAAACGCGCTGGGACGTGCCCGGCGGTGAGCGCCACCGTGGCCGCGTCGGTCGCGACAGGCTAGGCGTGTGCTCTGCGCGCGGGCCTGCGCGCGCAAGCGCGGCTGCGGCGGAGCGCCGGCCAGCGCCCAGCAGTCATCGCAATCGCCGCCGCACGGGGTCTTGCAACCACGTTGCGGGTGGGCGGGTGGGATGCTTGCACGCGCGTGGGAGGTGGTCGCGCGCGGAGCAGGCGAGCTGGTTGCACCACACAGGTTCCGAAGAAGGAACGGCGTAGATTCGACCAACACCACCACCCCCGGGGTCATCCGCCCCCGCTGGACATGTAAAATTGTCGTACGGTTCTGCCCCATCGTTGTTTCAAAGTGTGAATTTCTACCGTCCCAACCCAGCCGGCATTGGCATCCCTTTGTCGTCCTTGTCAAATCAGATACTGAGCATGCTCGCGCATTCGCTAATTCACAACGATGAAGTTGTCACGAATCCCTTGCATCAAATAGGACGAAGTGCAACGGCGCGCGTCGCCGCGCGCGCATGCTGGAATCGCTGCAGGTGTCGTAAGGATGTCACAACTGATGCCCCGGCAATGTATAAACAACCCATGGCTTCGCGACGTGATTTTACAACAAAACACAAGGTCTGCGCGTGCTCGTGCGAATTCTTAAGGAAGGTATGGGTTTTCCAACTTGGCCATCACACGCGACCAAACGGGCCTCTCGCGCGCACATCGAGATCACACGAACGCCCTTGCGCGCGGCGCCGCGCGGGCCACTGGCGCGCGGCGGGCGCGCGCGTCTCAAAATTTAGCCGCGACCTCCATCGCCGACGCATGGCCGCCAGTGTCGTCATCGGCGCACACCGCCGTGGTCCCATGGAGTTACACCAAGGGTCCCAGTGGCGCAGTCCACATGCGTCTCCCCCGCCCGGTACAGCGTTTCGTGGCTTGGGTCCTTCGCCAGGCTACGTTGCTTATCTCTCTCCCTCTCCCTCTCGTTCTCTCTCTCTCTCTCTCGTTATTTTTCTCTGTCTCTCGCTCTCTCGATTTCTCTCTCTATATCTATATTGTGATGTCTCGATCTCTCTCTGTCTATCTCTCTCTAGATAAATGCATGCGCAATGCTATATTCTTAATGCTTATATACACAGAATGCCATATGCACATATATATATATAAATACATACATACATACATACATACATACATACATACATACATACATACATACATACATACATGCATACATACATACATACATACATACATACCCACACGTATAGTATACATATACACATTCCACTATGTGTTACTAATGAACGGCTTCTGTGTGTTAAAACATGTTGTTCCCTACCTAGGCTCTGCCTAGAAGGGTTCTTACCCTGTGTGCTTAAAGGGCCGGGCAGTGCTAATCGCCCCGAGCGGTTCCCACGGCATCCGCCCCGCGGTGCCCCAGTCACGTCCCCTTAGCTTAGCGTTGCTTATCTCATCTTAGCTTAGCTGATTTCATCTTAGCTTAGATTAGCTTCGTCTTAGCTCAGGTTTGTCTTAGCTTAGCTCACCTCCATCTTAGCTTCGCTGAGCTTTAGCATAGCAGAGCACAGCATAGCATAGCATAGCGCAGCATAGCATAGCATAGCATAGCATAGCCAAGCATAGCATAGCATAGCACAGCATAGCATAGCCTAGCGCAGCTTAGCATAGCATAGCATATCATAGCATAGCTTAGCATAGCAGAGCGCAGCATGACATACCATCACTTAGCATAACATAGCATAGCATAGCGCAGCATAGCATAAGAAGCGCAGCATATCATGGCATAGCATAGCATAGCATATCATAATAACTAATGCTGTTTTCCTAGGGGCTCCAACTTCTAGGTAGGGTCGCACTGGGGTAAGTATTAGTTCATGTCGTTATTATAGGTGTTTCCCGTATGTTGCGTATCTTGCTCAGCGCTTTTCTCTCATCTAGTTGCATTCCGCAACAGGTTGCTGTTATTTCATGATTCCGTACATATATTTTTCCTCTCTGAGCAACTAATCTCTATTCTCTCAAATGCTCTCTGTCTGTATGCTATACTCTGTCGGATGTTTTACTCTCTAATATTGACCGTGGCCGCAAGGACCCAGGTACTTGGCCGCAGCCAAAACTCGAGAGCCCTTACAGCGCCGGGAGCCACCAGCCGCCCACAGAAGTCGGCCAGGCATTTCCGCCGAAGCCCGCGAACCGGGAAGCAGGGAACTTGGCCGCCTCCGAAATCGGCCCCGCGCTGGCGCCCCAATCTTTGCCCTGGTTGGGGAATGCGAGCGAGCGATAGCGAGAGTGAGGAAGGGAGGATATAAGCAGAGATGTCTTATTGTTATGGGCGGATGAAGGGGTGAGTGAGGACAAGGATGGGAAAGACGAGGACACGGAGAACGAGAAAGATCAGGACGAGGGGGAGGACGAGGACGGGGAGGGGGAACGGGGAGAACGATAAAGACGAGGAAGAGGAGGGCGGAAGGACCGGGCAGATGAGGACGACGAGGAAGAAGGGGAGGAGGACGAGGAGCAGGAGAAGGAGGATCGAAGAGAGGCGGGGCGAGCGGGGGGGGCTCTTGCTGCCCGGCCCTCCCCCAGGGCAAGGACGGCAAGGACGGCAAGGGCAAGCGCGGCGCCCCCGCCCGCGTAGTTGGTCGCGTCTCGCCCCTGGGGGCAAGGGGGGGCAAGGGGGACCATCCTTTTGGGCAGGCAGTACAGTCGGACCGAGGTATAAGTTCGAGGCCGGTTTGGGGAGGGCATCCTAATGTTGCTCGTGTTTGGTGGACGTTTTTGTGCACCTGGGGAGGGACCCTCTGGATGGTCTGTGTGTTCTGGCCGGCGGAGGGTATCGCGTTCTTGAGGGATGTTCTTCTGCCCGAGGTTCGATTGTGGGTCCTTTCCCTCCCCCCTTCTTGGGCCTTCCCTACGCTGCCCCCCCTTCCTTTTTTCCGCAGAGCGCTGCCGCCGGGGTGCAGCCGCTGGGCGCAGCCGCTGCGCACCCGGCTGCAGCGCCCTGCGGTCGTGGCTGGGGCTGCCTCGGAGCCGGGCGGCCCCTCTTGGTGGCGCTTGTTCTCCGAGGAGGAAAAGGTACCCATGCCTCCACCATTTGCTAGTTTCCCCCTTGTTGAGCCTCCTCGGAGGCCCTCGTCGCCACCGCTGGAGTCGCCCCGAAATTCGGTCTCCCTTGCTCGCCGCCGTTGCTGCTGGTTGGTTTTCCGTCCGCTTCCTCAACGACTCCCCATTCGTGCTCCTCCTCCTCCTCCTCCTCCTCCTCCTCCTCCTCCTCCTCCTGATGCGCTCTTGCCGTCCTCCCTCTCTCCTCTGTCGTCCATTCCTCCCTCCTTTCCTCTTCCCTCCACCCCATCTCCCTCCCTCCTCCCTCATCCTCCTCCCCTCTCTCTGCTCCCCCCCATCTCCTGCTCCTCCTCCTCCTCCTCCTCCTCATCATCATCATCAGCAGCATCAGCATCACCATCATCATCATCATCATCAGCATCATCATCATCATCATCATCATCATCATCAGCATCATCATCATCATCACCATCATCATCGTCATCATCATCATCATCACCATCACCATCACCATCACCATCATAATCAGCAGCAGCAACAGCATCATCATCAATCATCATCAGCATGATCATCATCATTATCAGCATCATCATCTTCTTCATCGTCATCACCCATCATCAGCAGCAGCAGCAGCAGCAGCATCAGCATCATCAGCAGCATCCGCATCAGCATCATCATCATCATCATCATCATCATCATCATCATCAGCATCGTCAGCATCACCATCATCATCATCATCATCAGCAGCAGCAGCATTGTCATCATCAGCATCATCATCCCGCGCCTCCTCCCTCATCGCTCTCTCGCTCGCTCGCCATCCTCCCCCCTCCCCCATCCTCCTCCCCACCCTCTCTCCTCCTCCTCCCCCTCCTCCTCTTCCTCCTCCTCACCACCACCACCTCCTCCTCCTCCTCCTTCTCCTCCTCCTTCTCATCCTCCTCCTCCTCATCATCATCATCCTCCTCCTCCTTCTCCTCCTCACCACCACAACCACCTCCTCCCCCAGTCCTCCCTTCTCCTTGTGCCCCCCCTCCCCCCGGCGAAGGCAAGGGACACCTCCTGCCCCGGACGCGGATATCGGCCGAGAAGTTCCAGGGTACCGTCTCCGCGTGGAAGGCGGGCGGGGGGCGCGGAGGTGCCGAGTGAGCAGCGAGGGGGCGTCAGTGCGCGCCACCCTCTGCCCCGAAGAGGCGGAACGGGGGCTGGAGGCGGGGAAGGGCAGGGGAGCAGGCGGGGAAGGGGAGAAGGGAGGAAGGGGGAGGGGAGGGAGGCGGAGAGGGGGGAGGCGGGGAGGGGGGGCTGGGGATGGGGAGGGAGAGGTTGGGGGAGGCGGGGACGGGGGGGGAGGGGCAAGGGGAAAGAGGGGGAGGGGGACCAGCGCTCGCGCTCGGCCATAGGGGGGTTCAAGGAGCCTTCGTGAAGGGATCCGCCGACCGTCAAGGGGGCGTTGTTGCACGACGCGGCTCCAGCGCGGGACGGGGCTTCGCGGGAGACTGGAATGCACGTTGGCACCGGCCTTGTCTCGAATCCGCGCGCAGCGAGGGGCAAAGCATCGCGATTACAGTGGATGCCCATGCCTAGAAGCACCCTGCTTGCCTCGAGGGTGCCCTGGATTTCTTGGGTTTCGATGATTTTCTATGGAAAGCGCGACGCTCCCACACCAAAACTCAATGGACGTCCTGGGGTCTCAGGGTTGGGTTTCTTGTGGAAGGTTTCTTGCGGTCGGGCCTCCACTGTACTCGTCATTGTTTTATTATGCAGTTGCGTTTGTCGCACAGATTTCGCAAATACGCCGCCCGCACGGGCGGCACGTGCACATGGTGCTGAAACGTGTTGGGAAAGATTGATGGCAAGCCTTGCGGGGAAGGGTGGATTTACCTCTAATTTGCCTCCTGTCCAGTGGGGGGCCGATCCACAAGAAACCCACCGCAAGAAACCCAACCTTGAAATCCGCCGAGGTTTCTTGGTCCAGGGTTGGGTTTCTTGCACTTCAGCTGCAAACAAAGAAACCCAGGGCACCCTGGCCCGAGCGGTTTCTTGACTGCTGGCGCCAAGCATGACATCAAGAAACCAAGGCGATCGAAAATGCGAGCTTCGGGCCTTGCACCTGCACAGCAAACAGGTTACGACTACTCGTCCGGGAAACAAATGCTCGTGCCCATTTGACTCAGGCCGGGGGGCGAAGACGCCGAGGGTGCCCTGGCATTTCAAGTTTCTCCGAGATTGCGGCGACCTTCCGCGCCGATCGCCAGCCAAAGAAACCCAGGGAATTCTGACGAAACGCAGGGTGTTTCTTGCCATGGGTCCCCACTGTAGCGCGTGTCCTACGAAGCATCAGGACTCCCTCGGGCGCGCCTGTGGCCTCACCGGTGATGTTCACGTGCCGCCCTCCGTCTTCGAAGTTTCCCGTCGAGCTTCTCGTCCTGCAGGGTGGCACTCATGCTGAAGCCGTGGTCGTCGGCAGACGGCGGCAGCACACTCGGCGGCTCCATGGTCGGGTGGTCGATGCCATCCTCCCAGGAATACGTTTGCGCTCCCTTTGCGGACTTGGCCCTCGCGCAGGGTGTCTGGGAGGCGTCGCAGCCCTCGGCGATCGGAGGCACGCACGGCGCCTCGGCGGTTGGCGAGCGGTCGGTGCCTCCACCCTCGCAGCACACTGTGAACTCGTCCGCCTGCAGGGCGTCGCGCACGGGCATCGGCTCGAACGGCGCAGCCCGTGCTCGGCCACAGCAAGACGTGGTACTTGGCGGGCGTCCGCGCTGGGAGCCTCGCGGCCCTCGCTGGCCAGCGGGCCATCCGCCGCTGCCGCGCGGAGCTCCGCCGGGCGCCGGCCAGCGGCGAGGCCCTCCTCGAAGGCCTTGGCCCCGACGCTCCGCTCCGCCTCTGGCGCCTGCGCGGTCGACTGCGGGCCCTTGTCCCCCGCGCGGCCTGGGCCCCGCCGCAGCGGCCTCCGAAGACGCCCCGGAGGCCGCGGCGAATCCCTCCGCGGGGATCTCGGCTGCGTTCCAGGCCGCGCTGCGCCGAGGCCGCGCTCCTCCCGCCGCACGACGGCCAGCAGCCGGGCGGCGCAGCGCGGGCCGCGCCGGCGCCTCGCGGCCACCCCACGAAGCGAGTGGCCAGGGCCTCCCCCCCGCGCGCCGCTCCAGGACGTTGAGCCGGCGGCTGCGTGCCGCGCGGCACGCTGCGCAGGGCCCTGAGGCCTCGTTCTCGTCCCCCCTGCAGATCCAGCGGGCCGCCAGACAGCAGTTGGCAGCCCCCCCGCAGCCTCGCACCATGGCTTGGCGCTTCCCCGCCATCGCAGCGCGGGCTGCGAAAGGGGAAGAGGACTGGCCACTCTCAAAACTAACCAAGGCGGACCAGGCGTGGCTCCAGCCAAGCGAGGCTGGCATGAGCTAAAATGGCTACGGGGGAGGTGGGAGAGGAAGGCGGAGAGGAGGGAGGCGGGGAGGGGGTAGGCGGGGAGGTGGAGTGGGGAGGCGGGGAGGGGGAGCGGGGGGGGGGGAGGGCGAAGGGGAAAGAGGGGGAGGAGGAGTTGCGAGCAGCGAAGAGTTTCATGTCATTGCCATTCTTGTCAACCCGCTTTTTGTCACTATGGTTATTGTTGCGTCCAGTTCCATGTTCTCTCGGGTACATTGGGGCGGTGCATCCTGAAACAGGGTGCTTTGAGTCAGGGTACCCTGGGTTTCTTCGCTCCTCGCGCTGTGCGGTGACTTCGCGCGGCCGTTGGAGAAGCTGCTGCGTTCAGCTGGCCCTGGGCTTCCCCCCAGGCGCACCTTTCGCGCGGGACTTCAGGGGTGGGTTTCTTGAGGGGGGTTCTCGCGGCCGCGTCCGCACTGATTGCCCACTACTCCGACGTGTTGCGATGTGTACGTCCGGAGGGCGGCGGTGGGCCCCGACCAGGGGCACCCGCGTCGGCATGGGCCCCACCGCGGGGAGGGAGGGTGGGGGGCGGGAGGTGGCCTGGGAGGAGAGGAGGAGGGAGGAGGAGGAGGAGGGAGGAGGGAGGGGGAGGAGGAGGAGGAGGGAGGGAGGGAGGAGGGAGGGAGGAGGGAGGAGGAGGAGGGGGAGGGAGGGGGAGGAGGGCGGAGGAGGGAGGAGGGAGGAGGGAGGACGGAGGAGGAAAAAGGAGGAGGAGGAGGGAGAGGAGGAGGAGGAGGAGGAGGAGGGGGAGGAGGAGGAGGAGGAGGAGGAGGAGGAGGAGGAGGAGGAGGAGGAGGAGAAGGAGGAGGAGGAGGAGGAGGGGGAGGGGAGGGGGAGGAGGAGGAGGAGGGGAGGAGGAGGAGGAGGAGGAGGAGGAGGAGGAGGAGGAGGAGGAGGAGGAGGAGGAGGAGGAGCAGGAGGAGGACGACGAGGACAGGAAGGCGGGGACAGACTCCTCCTTCTTAGGCATGCTCGCGCCGCGCCGCGGCATTCTCACGCGGAGTGCGCCGCTGGCCCCTCCAGATGCCCGCGGCGGGGGTTCGTCTTAGCTTGAGGGTTTCGATCGAGCCTAGGGCAGCCCCTCAGTCCTGTCCGCGCCTGAGGAGGTCTCGCAACAGATACACCCTCGCGCGCGTCCTCCTGCTTCCTCTCCTCGACATCCCACCCTTCCCCCCTCCTGTGGGAGGGTGGTCTTGCATCTTCGCACGGGCTCAGCACCCTTACCCGTACTCGCTCGCATTGGCGAAACCGGCTGTACCGGTAGCTGGTCTGAGCGTGTAAGTCGTGATACGTGCGCGCATGATATGGTTAATTTTCAGTGCGCATTTGTAATTTGTGTGCATCAGAGATCAGGGTGCACGCGCGGCAGGGTATGTCTTTACGCTCGGACGCGAATTGCGGTATTATTGGGGGCGAAGAGCAGCGGCGCTCCAGGGCAAGTTCGGCTGGATCACCCCGGCCGAGGAGATTGAGCACGAGAAGGCCGCTTCCGCAAGCATCGCGTCTTTCACGCGCCGGTTCATGAAGTGGGTTCTCCGGAGCACCTGCGCAAATAGCCGACACAACTCGGCATCGCATCTTAATTCACAGCATATGTGTGCATACATCATGGCCTTCAGTCCATCCCGCCACCGTGCCTGGGTTGTGGGTCGTAGGCCTCTAGGATGTTCGTTGGGATGTCGCGGGGGGCCTCTCGGGAGCTTCTGTGGGCCGTTTCGAGGCTTCTTGGTTTCCGTTTTGGGGCCTCTTAGGGCGTCTTCGGGGCCTCGTGGGGGTATCTTGGGGCCTTCGGGGAGCTTCTTTGGGGACTCCTTGGCGGAAGATTCGGATTTTCGGTCCATGTTCCCCCTTTTGGGCATTTCTTGGGCCCTCTTGGGCCGTCTTGGGCGTCCCTGGGGCCGTCTTGGGCGTCTCAGGGGTCGCCTTGGAGCCCTTTTGGGCCGTGTTGGGGCCTTCCTTTGGGCCTCTTCGGGCGGCTTTGGGGGCCTCTTGGGCCGTCTTGGAGCGTTGGGAGCTCGAAAAGTACCCCGACATGATTGAAACAATTATGGAATCTGCATAATTGTGCCCTCTTGGGATGGCGTTTGGGGCAAAGCGTTTTTTGGGCTCAGAAGAAGCCCTTTGTCGGCATGCCAGACCGGCAAGGCAACTCCTTCATCTTCAACGCAGCGCAATTCGGCATCCTTCGCGGCGCAGAGCCCCCCCAGCCCACGCCATACCGCAAGGATGGCGAGGTCCAAATTGAGTCCGCGTAGCTCGCCAATCCGCTGGACCCCCAAAGCAGCCCTCGGAAGCGGCGACAGTCTTGAAGCAGCCCCACAAGGATGGCGGGGTCTATTCTGAGTTCGCGTAGCAGGTCACTCCGCTGGACCCCCCAGCTGCCCTCGAAAGTGGCGACAGCTTAGCAGATCGCAGGCCCACAGGTATGGCGGGCTCTAACCTGAACTTGCGTGTGACGTCACTCTGCTGGACACCCCAGCAGCCTTCTATAGTGGCGACACTTTCGCAGGGATGGCGAGTTCTAAGCTGGGCCTGCGCAAGACGTCATTCCGCTGGACCCCCAAGCAGCCTTCGAAAGCGGCGACAGTTTTGCAGATCGCAGCCCCCCAGGGATGGCGAGGTCTAATCTGAGCCCGCGTAGCACGTCACTCCGCTGGACCCCCGAGCAGCCTTTGAAAGTGGCGACAGTTTTGCAGATCGCAGCCCCGCAAGGATGGCGAGGTCCAAATTGAGTCCGCGTAGCACGACAATCCGCTGGACTCCGAAGCAGCCCTCGAAATTTGCGACAGTTTTGCAGATCGCAGCCCCGCAGGGATTGCGAGGTCGAATATGAGTCCGCGGAGCACGTCACTCCGCTGGACCCCCCCAGCAGCCTTCGAAAGCGACGACAATATCGCATACTGTAGCCCCGTAGGGGTGGCGAGGTAGGAGACAAGCTGGCGCGCAAAAAGAACGAGGTAAGAGGCAGACAGGAAAGATGAGAGAAGGAGGGAGGCGGGGAGGAAGGAAGGCGGGAGGTGTGCGACCGCAGTGTTCTGTTCAAAAACGATTACCTAACCACGGAGGGTTGGGAACATTCGAACGACGCCCTTGCGCGCTAGTTTGGGGGGGAGGGGGCGCGATCCCTGTCAAAGACTACCACGCGGGCCACTCGCGCGCGTCGGCCGCGCGCGCGCCGAAATTATTCCAAGAGTTTCATCGCCGACGCGAGGACACAATCATCGTC